AGTATTAAAAATAAAAATGACCAGTCTATGCTCCTCTCCACACCCAATTCTATTCTTCCAACTGCTGCACCCACCAGATTCCACTGTAAATGCTGCTTCCCTCCCATCTCCTGTAAAAAAAAATTTTAAGTATACCCCCCAAACAAGCAAAAGATTGCTATTCTTTAAATTCATGTTCCTGATCCCCTCCTCCACTGTGGAGAAGCAGAAGCTAAAGGACACGCCTGTTTATTCAGCAGGTGGACTGTGCACTTTTGCTGAGTCCCCTCAACCCCTCAGCCTGCCCACCCTCCAGAGCTCCCCAGAAATGTGGGCTGATGGCCTAGCCTGAGTAGCCCCTCCCTGCATTGGAGAGTCTCCAAGGCCCTGAAGCTGCTCCCTGCCCTCTCCTAAGACAGCACTGATTTGTAAAAGTCTTCTAGCCTCTAAAGGTGGGAAAAGGGAGGGGCTTTGTCTTTGCAAACAGCCTTTTCCTCATTGACTTGCTCACGTAGGTGTGTCACAGATGAAGGTGAGCTGCTTTATTTGGGGGTTAATTGCTGGAAGTCAAAAGATCCCCCTATCCTCACATTCCCTGGGCCCCCAAGCTCTGTCTTCCTCTTCATAGAAAGGGCTGCCTGACGGCCAGGGTTGTGGTCCTAAGCCCCAGCCAGACCACGGTTCGCCCTTCCCAGGGACTCAAGGAAACCAACCCGTGGCACTCTGGGAGGCCGAGGTGGGAGGATTATTCTAGGTCAGGAGTTTGAGAGCAGCCTGAACAAGAGCGAAACTCCATCTCTACTAAAAATAGAAAGAAATTAGCTGAACAACTAAAAATATATAGAAAAAATTAGCTGGGCATGGTGGTGCACACCTGCAGTCCCAGCTACTCGGGAGGCTGAGGCAGGAGGATAGCTTAAGCCCAGGAGTTTGAGGTTGCTGTGAGCTAGGCTGATGCCATGGCACTCTAGCGGGGGAAACAGAGAGACTCTTTCCCCCCAAAAAAGGAAAAAGAAAACCAACCTAACTCTCCCTGCAGCAGCCTGCTCTATGCCCACACGAGGGCGCTCGCTCCGCTTCTCAATTGTTGGCCATTGGGCGGCAGCAGACCCGGCGAGGAGGCGGAAGGCGGGGTGCGTCGGCAGTGGGCGGGGCGAGGCGGCAGGGGCGGGGCGGGGCGAGGCCCGGGCCAGGGTACTTTTCCACAGTGTGCTGAATCTTCCTGATCCTAAGGCAAGGCTCGGACAGAGCTGTGCAGAGGGTGAGCTCGGCCCCTTGGTCGCTTCCTGCTGCCAACAGTGTGATTTCTACTCCCACCAGAGAAGAGGAGTCAACCAGCGAAGGAAGGGCTCCAACAAGGTGCAGCTCCTAGCTGTTTACCTATCCCCAACCAATGGAGACAACTTAATTCCTCAAAGCTGGGCCCCCTGAAGGGAAGTGGTAAGAGGGGAGGAAGGATGTGGTCTCCATCTGAGGCCGAGATCTTTTCCCCCAGGACCTAGCGAGGAATTTGCCCAGCTTGAACTAGCCCTAGAGGGGAGGAATGTTGTGGCAAATGCCCCATCACCCTTACCCCTTTCCCCTACCCCTCCTGCCTGAAAACACTAATGCAAACAATGGACAATAATGCAGACAATTAGTCATCTCTGTGGGGGCTGAAGGCCAGGCTTGGGCATAACTGGGTGATTCATTCTGCTGAAACTTCAGGGACAGGCTGGGTCAATATTGACTGAAAGGCTTGAAGCTGTGTTTCGTACAACCCCAGGGACCCTCACCCTTCCCCATTCGTGGCACCCCATGGTTCATGTGTTCCTTCAGCTGCCTGCTACTCAAGCCACTACCCCTCACCCCCAAAAAGGACCCTGTCCCGCAACGCAGGAGCAGCCTCCTAAAGTGTGCCTTCCTCACCCCCAGCTGGGACATGGGCAGCCACAGTGAACTCAGTCAAACACTGTCCTCATTGGTCTGAGAAAACTCCCCAGGCCAGGCCTCAGGCATCTCAGACTGGCCCTCTCTGCCACTCCAGGGTGGTGAGAAAGTGGACTGGCCCCACCCCAAGGCTCCTTTCACCACACCCAGAGCAAAACAAACACATCTTTGGGGAGCCTGCCAGGACTATCTCTGCCCCACCTCTAAGGACTCCAAACCCATCATAGCCTGGCCCAGGCACCGTTCCCATCTCCAAGAACCTTCTCTACTGAGACCAGTCAAGAGTTTCCTTAAGGTGGCTTTGCCAAAGGGGGCATCTTTTCTAATTCACATAAAGGCACCTTATGAGCTAGCAGTGGCCTTGTCAAGGCGGGTCCACTGGCCTGGTGAGTCAATGAGTAACTCTCAGAGGTTGACTTTGAGCAAATCTGATGGCCGATGCAGCACTAAGCCAAGGAGTCACAAATCATTCAGAAGCCAGGACACAGGGTAGATTTGACAAAAAAAAAATAATAATATTTATTGTACCCACCCCTGGGTTTGACTGAGACAGGCCCATAGAGGGTGTCTCCATCTTCCCAATTTATTTTCAGCCCTTGAGGGCTTCATTGTAGATTAAAGCCAAGGCCCCCAGGAAGGTGACATACTCCTGGAAGTTCACCTCCTGGTCTTTGTTCCGGTCCAGGTCTTCCATCAGCCTTGAAATTTCAGCATCCTGCAGCTTCTAGTGTTAGAATGGGAAAGCCAGATTCAGTGGTGATGAGACCCTGGATTCTCTCCCTTCCCAGTCCCAGGCAGCCGCCTCTCATACAAGTAGCTCTGTGCTCACTTGTCACCAAGGATCCGTGACTACCTTGGCGTTACTTCTCAGTTCCTGCCCCTCACCGGGGGGAATGACTGCCAGGCTGAGAACATTCCCACCCCAGGAGGAAGTGGCTCTACCAGCTTTGCATGGCATGGACCAGGGCCTCAGACTGTGGAAATGGGAGTCAGAGGCCCTGACGCCTGCCCTCTCCTGTTCCTACTTCTAAAGGACAAGAGGTGGGAAAAGGGGGCCTGGAAAGGAGGCCACTCACCGAGCCAATGGTAAGCTCCTTCTGGATCAACTCCTTCAGCTCCTTCTTGCTCAGGGTGCTCTTGTCACCCTCCCTGCCGGAGTACTTGTGGAAGATGGCCACGAGGAGGCCAATGGCCTGGTCCAGGGGGCATGCCATGGCTGAGGGCGGGGCTCGGAGCTGGAGGCAGAGGAGCTGGTCAGTGTCATGGGCGGCAAGGGCTTCTCACTCAGCCACACACCCCAGGAGCCCTGTCACCACCACCCCCCACTCCTTTTGACTCCCCTGCCCATACCACACATTCTCAGGCCACACACAGTGGCATCTGTAGACAGCCCAGGGTTTGGGGGGGAGGGAGACAGCCAGCAAAGGCCAAGACAGAGGAGGTAGTTTAAGGATTCTAAGAAGCAAATAGGGCCAGCAGTTTTGGGTACAGCTGAGAACTGTCCTCCCAGGGTTCCAGGAGAGGTTAGGGAGTATGACTGGGCAAGGGAGGAGGATAGAGGCTGCACACACAGCCTTAAGCACAACCTCACTGGGCCACACACGATGACAATGACACACCCAGGGCACACCCTCCAGCACCCCAAAAGAGCACACTCGGGGAGCTGCCCCATCAGGATTCCTTAGCCCGGGGTTCTGCCTGGCACAGCCGGGCCACTCCCGAGGACACTCCTTCCAGCCCTGGAGCTCCACAGGCGGCCGGGTCTGGATGCAGGCGCCCACCCCCGCCCACGGAGCCCACCGCTGCTGGGCTGGGGCAGGGCGTGGCTGGACCCCCAGCGGGAGGGCCGTCCTGGCGAGAACTTACCAAAAAGGAGGCAGCGAAGGGCAAAGTGAGCAGTCAAGGGATGGGCTGTGTCGCAGTCCAGTCCGGCGGCCTTATAGCTGCGGCGTCCGGAGGCGGGAGCCCACCCCCGTCCCTGGCCGCGCCCCGCCCCGCCCCCCCCCGCGCCCCGCCCCGCCCCCGCGGCTTGCACGGCACACACACCGGGTGTCCCCCCCAACTTTCCATGTCTCCTGCCCCGGGGCTGCTCTGAGTTAGCACGGGATGGGGCAGCCTGGTGCAGCCCACTGCAAGCCGGGTGACGTCGAATCTCCCCTAATCTCCATAGCTCAGATTGCTCTTCGTGACACGTGACACGGCGCGGGGTTTGGAAGAGGAAGAGGACGGCGGCTGGCAGTCACTCCTGCTTCCTCCTCTGCCATCTGCGCGCCAGAGCATCAGTGTGTCCCTGACGTACAGCGTCAGTGTGGGCGAGGGGGGGAAAGCTCACAGGAGGCTGGTGCCCCCCCAGGGGGTGTTCAGAGCCAACAACAGGTGAGGGAAGGGGAGCAGCCAGTGGTCCACAAGTTACGGTTTAAAGGCTATCTAGAGTGCCCATCCCCCACCAACAAGTTTCTGCAGACACCCCCACTCCCTTGCGGACTGCCCTGCCCGGAATCCCACCTTTAGAGCACTTTGCCCATTACTGTGCACACACCGCGCCAAGCCCTGTAGACATCACTAGTTACCCTTGAGTAAAAAGTTGTTCAGATCCTCCCCTGGGGAAAGATTTTGCTAGAAGGAGGTGGGGAGAGAAGAAAGTATTGGCCCCAGAGATGATGGGGGAGCAGCAGAGGGGGAAGTGGAGGAGAGGGAAAGGGGCTGGGGGGGTCAGACTCCCCTTCTTACTGGGGCTGTCAGAATGGCCAGGACGCAGTGCCCATCACTGCCCTCAGGAGCCACCTCCCAATCCCTCCCAGGGTCCTCACTCTCAAAGCACTTTCCCTCTTAGCTTTCTCTGCAGCTTTGCAGAGTTCCTGCGAGGCAAGCAGAAGCCAGGCCCAACTTCCCATTTTCCAGGAGGGCGAAACTAAGCCAGCACAGCTCAGTGACATCCATACTGAACCACAGGAAGTGGGATAGGAGCCCAGTAGCACCCAGAGGCTGTCTCAGCCCACTCAAGGAGAAGCCCCTACCCCAGCCAAGGAGGACAAGACATCTTCAAAACCAGCCCCCAAATACCAGGAATGGAAAATCTTTATTTCCTCTGCTGGAAGGGTCCACGTGGGAGGGAGAAGCGGGCTGGGGCCAAAGAGGGTCTGGAGAGGCACTGCACAGGTCAGGGGCAAGGGGCTGGTGACGAGGACAGGGGGGAGCCCGGTCACTTGTTTTCCTCTAGGAAGAAGTCATTGTAGGCCATGCACAGTGTGGTCAGGAACACTGAGTACTCCTTGAAGTCGATCTCCTGGTCGCTGTTTTTGTCCAGGCTCTTCATCAGGTCGTCGATGCTGCTCTCCTTCATCTTCTGCCAGAGCAGGGGGCGGACAGTTTAGGAACCCCTCCCAGCCCTGCCCCAGCACTGCAGGGTGACTCGCGTGCACGTGCACACACACACGGCCTCAGGGTGATCCTCAGCTGAGTCAGGACACTATGAGCATCTCGACCCCCCAGAGCCCGTCCCCAGCCCACACCTAGCAAAGGGCGTGGCACCAGGTATGGGCTCAGTGACCTGACTCCTGAATCTAAATAAATTACACCAGGAACACTAGCCTAGGCTCCCTTCTTCTCAACACCCTCCCCCACCCAAAGAAATAAGAACCTAGATTTTATACCAACACCTAATTGAAACAGCTTGGTGGCTATGTGGCACTGAGCATTACCTGAGTCTCCAACTTACTCTGTCCCCATTTTAGGGGCTAGTTGAGAATGAACTCTAGCCCAAGCCAGGGCAGGGTGAGGCAGGTGTGGGTGTCTCATGGACAGAGAACACGGCTCTCCATGAGAACAGTGCCTTGGCGCTGAGAAGTCACGGCATCCCTCCCCGCTAGGAGAGCTGTGTTGAGAGGAGGGCCTAGTGCCCAGTGGTGCTCTCTGTCTGGTTGTCTGTCCTCCCAGCCTATCCCACCCCCAGGAGGATGGAGACAGGGTCCTTAGGGTGGAACAGGAAGAAAATGCAGACAGGCTGATCCTGCCCTCCTCTCTTCATTGCCCTCAGCTCCAGGTTTTCACAGGAGATGGGATGTCGGGACATACCCCGATGGAAACTGCCTCTCTGTGACGTGATCCTAGTCCCCAGGCTGTGCTCCTGTTATAGCCAGGCCCTCCCCTGGGCCTCTGTCCCCCAGTAATTAACCCCTGCTGGACCTGCGGCCCCTCCCTCTGCCCTCATTAACTCCAGGATGCAGACAGCCTGGCAGGAAGGCGGGAGAGCAGGCCTGGGGACACACACTTCGTTCCCTTGCCCGTGGGGGCACAATCTCAAGACTTCTCTCTGGGGAGCCCTACCAGGGTTCAGGATGTGATAGGACCCCCCAAGATGAACTTTAAAGGGGTCATATCCCTGGACTGGAATTCTCCCAGCTTCTCACTAGCCAGTGTCCTTGGACAAGTTATTTGATGTGTCTGGACCTCAGTTTTTTTAACTGTAAAAATATGCATATTATAATATCCACCTCATGGGCCTTCCCCTGTGTCAGTCGCCTCCCTCCCACCATCTCCGCCTAGGAGAATCAGTTGTCGCCTTGTTACCCTGTGTTCATAAATTAACCTCTTGGTTCAGGTGTCAACACCTGCTGAGAGCCCCGGCCATGCCGGGCACACAGGGGAGAATCAGGCAGGGTCCCCACCCTTGAGTTGTGCACAGCTCGGCCTGGACACCCTGGATGCCTTCACCACCCGCTGCTGCCAGAGCCTGCCCCCACCGAAGGCTCCTTGATCTCGCCCTCTAAGCCCTGGCACACCACAGTCCACCCTCCAGACCCAGCCCCTCCTCTTTCCCAGGGAGACCCTAACTCGTCCCCCAGCACAGAGGGCTGGAGTCCTGTTGGCCCAAGATGTCCACCCTCTTCCTTCAGTCTCAGTCCATACCCTTTGGCCTGCCTGCCCCGGCTTCGGCTAGAGTGCCCTGAGGGCAAGTCTGTCCCCGACAGGGAGCACTCAGACTTTGGGGTGGAGGATGAGGGGACAGTCACCTACCTCCCCAAGACACAGCTCGTTCTTGATCAGTTCCTTAAGTTCCTTCCTACTCAGGGTCAGTTTGCTACCCTCTCTCCCCGAGTACTTGTGGAAAGTAGTGACCATAGTGGTCAGCGCCTTCTCGAGAGGAGTCTCCATCACAGCGTGCAGCTCTGGAAGGGGACAAGGGGAAGAGCACTCTCTTCAGGAAGCCAGACCTTCTGCCACCACCACCACCACCACCAGCCCACTCCCAAGGCCCCTCCCTCAAAGGACCAGGGACGGCAACCCATGCTGAGACCACCAACCACAGGACCCATGTGGATCCCAACAGGGGCTGATGGGACCGGAGGCAACTCTGGAGCAGCCGGTGCCGTGAGAGGAGACTGCAGAGTCTCCTGCTTAGGAGATGTTGAAAAGGGGCCTGGGGTAGAGCAATGACAAGATGACCTTCCCAAAAGAACTGGTGGCAGGTGGTGGAGCAGATGAAGGGTCAGGATTTTCTTTCTGCCCCATGCAGCTCGGGCACTGGTTTTGCAGAAGCAGTTCCCATCTTAGTCACTTTCCTCTGCCCCAGTGCCTGAATCACCTGATATCAGGGAGTGTCCCATTATTAAAGTAGGGAACAGGGCAAAGAGAGGGTCCAGGGGTCAGAGGGGGCTGGGCTGGAACTGGAAGGCAAGGTGTCAGCAGGAAGCAGCAGGGGGTGATCCAGCTTGCCCCACTGGTCTCCAGCCTCCGCCCAGAGAACACACACAGACTGGCCGGGAGGCAGGAGGGGAGCAGGGCCTACTGACAATCCAGGATCATTCTGAAGTCTGGGTCTAGAGCTTGGGCTACCCATGCTCAAGGGAAGAGGCAGGCTCGGTGACTCAGACATGAAAACCACTTCCCCCGTAGAGAAGGAGGAAACACCCATGGAACCTGAGGGCTTCAGATAAATCCTGCAGCGGGCCCTCCCCTCCAGCCCAGAGCCCACCCTGTGATTCTTGAACTGGACCTGTCATTTGCCTCCCACTACCCAAAAACTTCACCTTCTCCCACCTCAGGGAGACTCAGCCAGGACCGCAAGGGCCTCTGGGTGTCTGCAGGGGCATCCTCACGGTTCTGATCCCCACCTCCACCCCAGAGCCACTTCTCAGGAAGCTCTGACAACCACAGTTCCAAATACTCTGCCCTCTCCTCTCTGAGCACTTGCTCACTCGTGGGGCCAGCCATTCCTCGGGGTAGGTCACCACCACTTGTCACCCTCATCACCCCGTGTGGCCCACCAGAAAGATGAACAGGGGGATAAGAAGGAAGGACTCACCAGGGAGGAAGCAAGCTCAGAACCCAGACAGCAGACACAGCCTCCCTCCCGCCGCTCTCTGCCTTTATTCCCTCAGTCCCAGTCCCCAGGAAACCCAGGGAGAGGGAGGGCCAATGAGAAAGGGTCAGGGACGCCAGACGCCCAGGTGAGAGCCTCCCGGGATGCAGCTGGGGAGAAAACCCCTCTGCCTACCTCACCCTCCTTGTTTACAGATGGGGCAGGGGACACACTGAGCTCACCATGGCACACGTCTTCAGTCCCAGAAGCCCCATCTTGCAACCAAAAATCAGAACTCACAGTCTGAAATCTGACACAAAAAATAGGCAGAAGAGGGGAAGTCAGGCTGTCCTGGAGAGAAAACCTAAGAGGTGTGGGCCCAACACAGGGCATCTCCCCATGTCTAGGGCACCCGCCACATTGGGAACCCCCCACCCATCCTGCCACCCACTGCAAGAGAAGAGAAGACACACCCCAAGATGGGGATTCATGGGGGAAGATGTTCCCTGCCAAGGGCATGGTCAAGGTCATCGGCTAGTATGGAACTGAAGGCTTTGAAAGGGCTTCTAAGTGAATGCTTTGTTATAAGCCCCGCTGGCCTTTGGGGAAAGGACTTGTGGGAGACTCTTGGCGTGGAGGACTGAGTCAGGACTGAGGAGGGTCCCCAGCGGAGGGGAGCCAGGAGAGGGCTGTGGTCCAGTAGTGGGGTAGGGGATGAGGACTGGGGAGGCGTCCAGGTTCAGGCTGCAGTCATGGGTAGCATAGGGGTCAGGAGAGTTGCCCATACCCTGGACACACTCGGACGTTGTTCTGCCACCGCCCAGCCCAATGCAAGACCAGAAGTGAGTCCGGGGCTTAGTGTCTACCACTGTGCGGTCCCACCCAGCTGCCCAGGTCCCCTGCTTCCCCGCTCACCCCACCCCTGGCTGGGGAGGCAAGAGGCAGCTGGCACTGGTCGCTAAGCAGCAGGAGTTTCTGAAGTGAAGAGTGATGCCCAGGGGAGGCCCAGGGCAGGCCCTGCCAGGGCAGGTGGGCAGAACGAATGGGGCGGGGAGGCCAACTTGTTCCTGAACCAGAATTCGACCAGAGTCTCCGTAGTCAGACTCTGAGGGAACGTGTGTGTTCCCACCCCACTCCTCTGAAAGCTGGGAGAAAGCTCAATGCCACGAGAGGACAGGGGAAGCGTGAGAGGTCAGGGGGGCCAAACCCTCAGCCTCTGGCCCTGCCCTCTCCACACCTCTTCCTCAAAGGTCCCGTGTCACCAGGCATGGCCTTGGAGTCTAACACCAGCCCACCCGCTGCACCCCGGAGCCACTTACCTCTAACCTACCCTAAGGGGGAGCAACGTCAAGCCTCATGTTTTCTGGGGGAACCTCAATTTCCTTCCTCACATCATATGTCTGGAATTTTGTCTCCAAATTTATGGTCCCTCCCCACCATCTCCCTTGCTTCCACCCCAGCGTCTGGCCCCGCTCATCCCTTCTGAGGTTGCTGGTCCTTCTCTGAGGGAGTGCGGTTCCTAACTGAGGACAGTCTCGTCCCAGGGACTTTGGCGACAGAGCCAGTGGGTTAGAGCATGACTGTATCCTCATGCTGCTGCCAACGGCCCGGTCTCCCTCCGTGTCGCCCTCCCTGATCTGGGCATGAACAGGAAAGGATTAATCCTTCTCAGAGCCAGGGATCTGGAAGAGGGCGGCAGGACAGGGCTGGGACTATAAATGTCAGGACTGAGCACCAGCGCTCCTCCCCATCCATTGCTGGCTCTGCCCTGTTCTCTTCCCTCCAACATGCTCCCAGGACACGCAAACTCCACGCCAGGCCCCAGCCAGGAGCAGATGTGACCTTCAGCTCCATCCCAGCCTCATTTCAAAGTCCTGCCAGAGGCCAGGTTGGAGTGAGGTGGGAGGGATGAGTGGGCTGGCCCAGATCCCACAGCTGGGGCCTTCCAAGCCTCTGGGGGTCCCTGTCCCTGCTTTTGGCACCACTCAGAGTCAACTCTATCTTGTGAGCACACGCGCGTGCACGCGCACACACACCCCCACAGTCACTCCACATTCCTCCCCACCCTTCAACAGTCTCCGCAAACTGCTGCTCCAGTCCCCGCACTCCCCACCCCCACCCGCGACCCCAGAGTGCCTCAGACCACAGCCTCATGGCTTCTAAGAAACTTTATTGAACTTGCTCAGCATGGTGCATGTGCCTGAGGCACTGTGCCCACTGCCGGCAGGGAAGACCCCAGCTGGCAGACACCCCAACCGCATCTGAGGAGCCTTCATTTCTTCCGGGGCTGCTTATCTGGGAAACCTTCGAAGAATTCGTTACACATCATGGCGATGCAGGACAGGAAGACACAGTACTCCTGGAAGTCCACCTCGTTGTCCCTGTTGCTGTCCAAGTTGCTCATCAGCTTCTGGAACGCAGCTTCATCTGTCCTTTTCTGGAGGGAGAAAAGGCTACAGATAGAAAACAGAAGCCCAGAGGGGGAGAGCCAAGACTAGACCAGGTGTCCGCCCCCAGACCAGAGCTCAAAAAGGCTTACAGCCTCTGCTTTGGGAGGCCGAGCTTTGGAACTCCAACCCTCAGGGCTGAGCTAGAGCGGAGAAGGGTGTTCCTTGGATGAGGAAATCTGAGTGCCTGGTGCACCAAAAAAATGATGGGACCACGTCTTCACCCAAGGTCGTTTTAATAATCCAATTAGATAATTGTCATGAGAGCAATATGGAAACTTGAACATTCAAGACCAATGTAAGACTTCGTTGTGTGGGAAGAAAGTCTGTAGGTGTGTGAATGTCTCCATAACTGTGTCTTCACATCCACAAGCCAAATAGAAATTCAAACATCATCCATTGTTGGAGGGATGGCAAGAGTCAGACCGTCCTGGTACAGGTCACAGTTGTGTACGTTACTTTGGGAAATTACTTAGCACCCTGAGCTTAGTTTTCTACTCAGTTAAGTTGTGCAAAGCGCCTGGCAGTGTCTGGCCCGTAACCTACCTGCCCATTCCCAGTACTTTTGCTGCTGGGGGCCGGTAAGCGAGTGGTGGTGGTCACTGTGTCTCCAGCCCAGGCAGCCAGAGCAAGCGCTCTGCCCCCATTCCCCACCCAGTGACCGACACCAGCTGTAGCTAATGCTCTGCAAAGACTGCTGCCTCCCAGGGCCTTGCCCTCCTCTCAGAAATGCCCCAACCATGGAGCACACTGCAGACAGCACCCACTCACCCCCAAGAAGCTGGGCAGCTCCCGGGTTAACAGCTCCTTTAGCTCTGACTTGTTGAGCTTGTACTTGTCACCCTCCTTGCCCGAGTACTTGTGGAAGGTCGCCACCATCACATCCAGGGACTTCTCCAGGGGAGATGCCATGGCAGCAGTCAGGATCTGGGGGCAGAAGGCACAGAGGCGCCCTTATCTCCCCCACCCCTGAGCGGCATGTGCAGAATGCCCCACTACACTCCCACCCCTCAAGGAGTATTGGGGGAGACTCTGCTCCCACCCTCGGGGGAGCCCAGAGACGCGGGGCTCAGCTCCTGTGCGCGGTGGGAGAGGCGTGTTGCCCCTGGCGGCGCACATTTGCAGGGCCTGCTGCACAGGCTCTGGAGATTCCGCCGCAAGCTTCCGGGGCCCTGCTCAGGCCTCGCTCAACAACAGCATTTTTCCACTGCTCACTCAGTCCGTCCACTCCCACAGCCCAGCCACAGCTGCCCCGCCCCAGCCCATTCTTCTCCGTCCCAGCGCTGGGAGAGCTGCTGGAGCCCTGCCCAGGGGCCTGTAGCGGAAAAAACCAGCCGCCTAGTGCCTGGTATAGGGTGGGGCAGGGTGAGGTGGCAGAGGCAGGGGTGCAAGGGGAAGGTGGGGACGCCAGGCTCTCTTGGGCTCGGCAGCTGGGTGCAGGGCAGAGGCTCACAGGGCACTACCAGACAAAAGCCTGAGTTGCCTGCTACCTTCGCTTTGCTTCCTGCACACACAGGCTTGTGCAAGCCAGCAAACACAACCAGTGTGCATGCCCACGGGCCACATACACACCAACACACACCACAGCAGCATGCAAGCCTGAGCCTCTCAGAAGCGCTCGGAGAGCTCGAATTCAGCCACTTGCTCACTCTTTTGTTTGTTTTTCTCTCTGTCACACGCACACATGTGCACACACACACACACACACCCCACCCCAAAGCCTCCACATCAGACTCTCACATCTGGCTCCATTTAGCACATCTGGTCCCCACCAGCCTCCCCTTCTCCTGCCCCAGCCTTGGCCGCTGACATCCCTTGTGTGCCAGTTGGGCCAACGCAACTCACCAGGCCAAGAGAGAGGAAGGAAGCTCTGAGAAGAGAGGTCGAAGAGAGAGGAAGAGTGGGGAAGGCACAGCGGTCTGACCTATTTATACCCCAGCCAGGCCCTGCCCCTGGAAGGGGATGGGGGAGAGCAGACACTGCCCTCCTGCCATGGGCTGATGTGAGAAGTGCCACAGCCCCCTAGACCAGCCCAGCCTGGCGACCAGGCTTCCTGTCCCCCCGCCCCCACAGGCCAGATGGGCAGTGGGTGAGCCCCAGTGGGCACTGGCAGGGACTTTGATGGTGTGGGCACCTCCCAGTGTGCACAGCTCACCCCAGGTCTTAGGGAACTGGAGGAAGGGGCAGCCTGTGCCCGGGGTGTAGGGGACAGGGAGGAAGTAGTGCCACCAGGCAGCTGGGAAAGGAGATGCAGCAGGTGACGGGTGGTAAACTTCCCTGGAAACATGGCTGCCTGGGAACAGGGGCCGGGAGCCTCAGTGCCCCCCAAAGAGCAAGGCCTGGAGGGGCAGTCAGCAGGAGACAGACTAGCACCCAGAGGAGGCTCAGGGACCCCTTCAGGAAGGTCAGTGGAATGTCCTGGACCGAGGAGTGGTGGAGCAGAGCAGGGTGCAGCGTGGGGGCTCAGGGACAGGTGGAAGGCGCAGAGAGGGCACTAGGCTGGGGTGGGGAGTTGGGGGGAAAAGGCTGAAATGGGAAGTCAGTGGCAGGGTGAACCCCTCAGTGTGGGTGCGCACTCAGGATCGAGTGAGGCCGTAACTAGGGGGTCAAGGCCCTCAGGGGGCTGCAGTTCCAGGGATGGGGTCTGCCTCATGCTATCCCCTTGCCCTCCACACAGGGCACCCCTCCCTGGCTGGGAGCAAACACCTCGGAAACCCTAATCCTATTAGTGCCGCTCTCTGGGCTCCCACAGCCCCGGGCAGGGAACAAACACCCACCCAGCCCCACGGCCCCACCCTCTTCTGGGAACATCAGGTCACGAGGACTGAGTTTCATCCCCCGGGAACCTCAGGCGGCCCTCCCACCCTCCTTGACAGCCCAGTGGGGTCAGCAAGACAGAGAGGCCCTCCAGCCTCCTCTGGGTGGGAGGACGGGTGTCCCTGTGCTGGCCCCACCCCCTCCTGCTGGACCCTGGAGACCACCGCATTTCTGCAGGGCCCAAAGCTGCCCTCGGGGCCGGTGGGGAGGTCCCTACTCCCACCCTCAGCCTCCTTCCTCCAGTGGAAAAGGCCAGAGAGGAGCAAAGATCTCAGCAGGACTCTGTCCCAAGCCCTGGTGTGTCCTCTGAGAAGAACCAAACCAAGCCAAGCTGACACCAGTTTTTTATTAGGCATTAAATAAGCCCTTTGCCATCATGGTCTCATTTGTGCACGCTGTGCTGAGCCTCAATGGCCCCAGAGCAGATTCCGCATCCTCCCCTCCCCAGCAGAGAGGCAGGCGGGAGGCCTCTGCAGGGGCACAGGGCGCAGGGCGCAGAGGGTGGGCTGGGGCTGCTCCAGCCCTTGCTAGCTGAGCATCCGGGGGAAGATCCCGCCCATCTCTGGGCCTCCTGGGTAAAATGGGTTAACAGATGGGGGGAACCCGGACCAGTCCCGACTGGAAGGGGCACAGGAGAGAGGGTAGGAAGGGCTGTGGGGGGCGGGCCCAGGACCACCTCAGGGGCAGAGACTACTGGGAGCAGGGGGCCCGTGGGGGACAGTCCTTGAAGTACTCGTGGCAGTAGACACACAGGCAGGCAAGCGAGCGCACGTACTCCACAAAGTCCACCTCCTGGTCCTTGTTGGTGTCCAGAACACTCATGAATTTATTGTAGTCACACTCCCGAAACTCGGTCTGTGCAAGGGCAGGGTGGGGAGGGGCGGAAGGGCAGGATGAAAAGGGCAGAACCCGCCGCCTCACCCACAGCCTCCCCGCTCCTAGGTGGACACACCTCACCCAGCCCACACCCTTCTGGGGGCCCACCTCAGCCTGCCTGTCCTGATAATGCACCCGTTTCAATCCCCCTCCCACACCCCCCTTCTCAGATCATTTATTGAGCACCTATGATTCGCTACTGAGTGCCTAATGTGTGTTAGGCATTCTTCACGGTGCTCTCACTCAATCCTCACAACGACCCTGCGAGGCAGCAGGTGTGATGATTGGCATCCCATTTTACAGATGAGAAAACTGAGGTTCCTACTGTGTCAGTTCCCTTCCTCCCACTCACTCCCCATAGTCTAGCCTCCACCCCTCTTGCCGTGCTATGCTCGTGCAGGTCTGTCTTTACAGGGTCAAGCCATGCATCCCATGGGGGAGGCAGGCACCCCGGGCTCACCGGAGTCCAGGTGGGCAGCTCCTTCTGCAGCAGCTCTTTGAGCTCCGCCTGGCAGAGCGTGTGATTGTCATCACAGCGGTGTGCATATTTCTGGAAGATGCTCACGATGCAAGCTATTGCCTGCTCCAGGTCATTGGCCATCCTCACTGCCACAGAACAAGGGTTTGACTCACAGCAAAGGCCCAGGCCGGCCACCCACTCACCTCTGCCCTTAGCAGTCCCCAGGGACTGTTCCCAGGCCTGTCTGAATCCCCACTGGGCTTCAGGCCCCACAGGCCTCCCTCCTCTGAGCAGCCCCCCTGACCACACCAGTCCCTCCCAGTTTATCTCCTGACTGTGCTGTGGTTTTCCTGAACAGTCTCATTTCCCCAACATCACTTAAACTCCTCGAGGAGAGAGCACCCCATCCTACCACCTGCTCCGCCCAAAGTGGGGCTTCCTGCGGACGCCCTGACTCTCTCCCACCTCTTCTTATCCCCAATACCCCAAAATGGCTCAGTCCCAGTCTGCACCACCCCATGAGAGGCAGCCCCCAGCAGAGAAGCCGCCTCCCCGATAGGAACTTGCACAGGGAGACACTTGCCCGGCACTCCCGGCAATCCCTTGCCCTCAGGCCCTCGGAGAAGCTAGGCCTTTGCAGAGTGGGTCAGGTCTGAGAGGAACCCCCACGACCTGCCCATCACTCCCCTCACCCTTCCACTTCCCCCCAACTCAGGGAAGCTGCAAGGAGCTCAAGGAAAAACTTGTGGGATCCTCTCTGTCTCTCACTAGCTGTGCTAACCTGGGTGAGCCATGTACCCTCTCTGGGCCTCAGGCCCTTATCTATGAAGTGGGGCTAATCTGACCTCCCAGGCCTGGTCAGGGACCGGAACCAGATGGTCTCTTGAGAGTCAACGAGCTCAGGTATTTACCAACCTGTGACTGCCCCAGCCTGAGGTCATCCTCCTGACCCCTGCGGGTTTTGAGATAGAAGGCTCTGTGTAGGGCACCCTGCTCTGTTAGAGGGGAAGCCCCTCCTGGGACCGCTCGCCTGCCCCTAATTCCACTGTCCCTTCCACCACCCTTCTGGGATGATGCCTCCAGCCTGGGAAAACCCACAGGCAGCCAGGAAGGCAAGTGTTGTTTCCATGTGAGCCAGTGACTCACTCCTGGTTCCCTCAGGGCCTGGGAGTCCTGCAACGCAGGGCAACCAGGGCCAAGACTCTCTCCCTAAAGATCCCCCTGCTGCTGGAACTCTGCTCAGAGCGAATGGCTGGCGTGGCTGTGGCCGCAGGGAAATGGGGAATGGGGGCTGGGGTGCCAAGCACTGCCTGGGGTCTAATTGCGACAGCCCAGGATTGGAGGAAGGTGTCCAGATTCCCAGGAGAGGAAAGGACCATTGTCCCAGGGAATGATGAACCTCAGAGGTGTGCAGTATGCCCTTCTGGGCTCCTGCCAGCCTGCCTGGCGCCACCACTGTTGCTGTCTCAGAAGCACCGTGCCTGGAGATTGCCGGGAATCCTCTCTTCCCTGTGCAGCCCTAGCCAGTCTCAACACACCCCCGGAAACAAAGCAAGGAGGGAAGGAGGAGGCTGAAGGAGCTAACCAAGGCTAACACCAGAAATTCTCGCCCATTGCTTCCACCCCAGGCCCAGACCTCAGCTCTGCACACCCCCAGCCCAAACTTCCCGACAGCCCCTCGCTGTGCAAGGGAACCGCAGAATGCACCATTCTGACTTCCCTACTCCATCAGTCCCTGCCATGGTCATCTCCCTGCCCCCATGCCGGACCCTGGGTCAGGAGACAGGCTAGCTGCTAGGATCCCCTGAGCTGCCCTGACTCCCAGCCTAGGGCAGGACCCAAGCAGCTGGCACTCACCGCTGGTGTTGGCGTCTCAGCTGTGGGGACCCAGAGACAGGGCATGCCTATTTGTAGCCTCCCAAGGAAGGAAGGGAGCAATTAGGGGGCCAAGTAGGTCAAACCTCTTGCCTCCTTTCCTCCATGGCCCCTGCTTCGGGCCCCACCCGCCCACCTATCACGCACACATCAAAGGCCCAGGCTGGGACTCAAACACCATACCCCATTCATTCCCCATACCCCCTCCCCACCCTTCCCCAGAGTTGGGGACTGGGGACAGCCTCCTGCCCATGTCTTTCCTGCGTGGTGGGAGGAGACAGGCTGGGCTAACCCATCACATCCATCCCCCTATCTCTTCACTCTGAAGAGGTGCCCAGGATGCAAAGTGGGGACACACTTTAGCCATGCTTAGGTTGTACCCCAGCAACTCCCTATGCTGGGGGGAGCTTGGGGAGTAGCTAGCTAAGCCCCCGTTTACAGATGAGAAGACTGAAACTGATGAGACACCTCCCTTCCTGGCCTGCAGATCACTTCAGGGCTTAGTCACTTTGGCTATGAACAGCTTGCTTACCTGGGGGAAGTTATTGTGGGAAGTCTTTTTGGAGACAGAGTCTGACTCTATTGCCTTGGATAGAGAGCAGTGGTGTCATCATAGCTCACTGCAACCTCAAACTCCTTTTCCCTCAGCCTCCCAGGTAGCTCCAAGTAGCTGGGACTACAGTCTCGTGCCAAGGTGCCTGGCTAATCTCTCTATTTTTAGTAAAGACGGGGTCTCGCTGTTGCTCAGGTTGGTCTCACAGATTCACGTGAAAGCTGGCCTGTGGCTGGAGTTCCTCAGCAGCTGTTTTCCTCCCCCTGCCCCATTCAGTGTCCTCTTGGGGGTGGGGTGGGGTGTCCTCTGGCTTTTAGCTTGAGTGTGTAGCCTTTTGGGGGTTCCAGTATCATGGGGGTGTCTCCCACTTGTGTCCCCTCCTCGGGTGAGCCCTGGGCTCCAGCTTCTGTCCTCCCTCCTCCCCAGACCATCAAAGCCAAAGCTCGGGTTTGCCTTGGCTGGTCAGTGCCCACAGAGCACAAGGGGCCCGCACTGCTCACTCCCAATTCTGCCTTCACTTAGGATTTTGACCTGCTTGTTCCTTACTGCCTTATCAGCTCTTCAATGCTTTGTAAAAGATTGGTTTAATTCTATCCAGAAAATTTATTGTTTTTAGCCAGAGTAAGTACAGACCACCATATTGCCAGAAATGGATGTTCCTTCGTCTTTCTCCTCTATTCTCTCCATCATCCCTAAGCCTGACAGACCCCTTCCCTGTTTCGAAGAAGGAGAGCCCCAGGCCCAGAAGACAGTGTGGGAAGAGGAGGTTGGCTCCCAGGCCAATGAAGAAGAGTGCCCGCGGAGACAGCCAGAGCGCTAATGACACCTCGGTCCCCAGCACCCAAACCTTGTCCGTGCCGTCATCCCCTGGAAGACGCAGCCCCTGTGGGGGAGGGGAGTGCGCCGTGGAGCAGGAAGGGAGGAAGGGCTGTGATTAGCCCTGCTTTATAGGCAAGCAATGATGGGGAGCCAAGGGCAGGGATCACGAGTCACGCAGCGGAAGTCACCAGCAATTAATTCAGCTGTAGGTCAAGCACTTATTCCCACCCATGCTTTCCCAGCTCTGCCACCTGCCACCCCCCGTAAGCAGGTCACCCTCCTCTGTGGGCTTCGTTTTCCTCCTCTGTCATGGTGGAGGATGTAACAGTGACTACCTCATAGGGACGTGTGGGGCTTAAATGAGTCACTACATACAAAGCGCATAGAATAAACAGTGCCCAGCACATGGCAATGGCTCGATGAAATGCCGACCAAGAGGCAGGTAACTTAAGGTTACCAGACTGTATGTGCCCAACGTGACATAACTAGTGATGGCAGGCATGGGGGCCATTCATTGTTCATATAAATACTTAGAGGCACCTGTACCGGGCACTGGGGGTATAGCCACAAACAACACAGATAAAGTCCCTGCCCAATGGAGACGACAGTCCAGTGGGGAAAACAGACAGTGACAGATAAATGTTTAATGGACTGGTGACATAAGTGCTGTGAAGATAAATAAAGCAGAGCTGAGAGAAAGACAATGCCGGCGGGCAGTGGGGCACTGCACACGTGAGGTCGGGGAAGGGCCCGGCAGCCTGGCTCCGGCTGTGTCCTCACCGCCAGTCTCTGATGTTCCTCAGCGTGGCGCACCTCCCCGGGCTCCGGCACCTGTTTGTCCACTGGGAGAGACCCAGCCTGAGACTGGAGAGAGGGCCGGGGCGCACTCTAGGAGGCGACGCCTGAGGGGCAGGTGGGAGACGAGGGGTCTAGCACAGGCACTTGGGGGCTGGAGGACTGTCGTGGAAAGAGCCGCAAAGCTCCACCACCCTCTTGCCACCGGACCTCGAGAGTGTGATGCCCTCTGCCTTGTTGAGTAGTGCCTTCGTTCCCTTGCCTCCACAGGGGTTTGGAAGATTCCCACCCTCAGAATCCGACCTGGAAGTGCTTTGTGTCACTTGCTGTTGCTGTGGACAGCGCCGGGGCAGAGGCCTCTGGGCCTGAATCAACGAACACGCTCTGAGTGGAGGCCACAGGGAGGGGGAGGGGACGGAGAGGACCAGCCGCCCCTCGCCAGGTCATTTGGTCCGGCCTCCATGCAGAGGGTGGGCAGAGCCATTACTGCTCATCCCTTGTCTTCCCAGCTCTTCTTGGAGTGATTGGCATCAAGTTCTTCCCCCGCATCTGCCCTGAACCCCCTTTCCTGCAGGGGCTCCAAATGCGCACCACATGCACCACCCCTCTGAGGCTTGAGGCTCAGAACGGAAGGATCCCGCTCCCTTCTCACCCTCCACGGTTCACACACTCAATTTCCCACCCTTGGGCTGAGCCCAGCAGCCTTGGCCTCTCGCCTGCAGAGCTCCCCGCTGCAAACGTGGAGCTGACCGAACGTGGAGCTGACCGCTGGGAAGTGCACCCCACTCAGAGGGCAGGGAGCTTTCTCCCCGCAGGAGCTGGGCGTGGGTGCATGAAGGGTGAGAGCAGGTGCTATCTGATCTGGCGCTGCTTCTTACAGCATTGACAGTCACTCCCCCCAACTCCTCCTCCCCTCCTCTGTTCCCTCTATCACCACCATTGACTCAGCAAGGCCCCTGGGAACCACGTCACCTTCCTGAAGGTCAGTGTCTGGTTCTGCACCTCAGGGAGAAACACGATGAAGCATCCTAAGCACGTGAACATTCCATGTGCTTGTGCCAAAAGGGCCTGGGCCCCAGGATATCATGACCCCAACCCC